TGACACCCTTTTGACACCCTTTTACCAGGCTGCAGTTGCGGGCGTCAATGCCGCCATCGAGCGTGCTGCGGAGATGGGGTTGCAGGAGGTCAGCCTGGAAAAAGGACAAAAGAGGACTGCAAGAAATGACAAGAAATGACAAGAATCGATATCTGAGATGAAACGAACATGAAATGAACACCCTCTACGGGAAGGGAATGGCAAAAGGGCCAAATGCAAAACTTACAATGCTGGATGGGTTGCAATAGTTATGTCAAACATTTGTACGTTTTGTGATGAGAGAAGATATTGCCCTTTTTCATTGGGCAAGAGACTGACATGCAGTTTTGACAAGACAAGTGTGTCTTGATCATATCATGGCTAGTGATCTCTCTCGTTGGGCTGGTTTATTCAAAGTTTATTTCGTCTCTTGTCACCACTGCGTGTAGGTGTTGCTCGTTACACTCACCAATTAGTTGTTTATTTTCCCCCACTACAGCCTTCTTTGGGTTAGCAAAAAAATCTAAGAGAGGTGTAGTCTTTGTTTGACAAGACAAAGAAGTACACAATAAACTAGTCTAGTGATGTCTGGTGATGTCTAGTGTGGATTAAGTTGGGTACTCCGAAGTCTCGAACAATCGAAGCCGTTGGATTTGTGCTGATAAACCCAAATCAGGAAAATGTTGGAAGATGTGATAGTTTTGCCACAGACGGCTGAAGGTCGTAATTGGCATGCCTCATAGAGGCCGCCTGAATGTCCTGACGCTGCTTGCCTCAGTAGCCCAAAATAGCCGTAGTATGCCGTAGTAGCCCCAAGTAATGATGTTCAATGCGTCCTTCAACAGACATCGTCTTTTGATTCGCAGATTTTTGAACATTTTGAACCTGCTTTGCTGCACAGTAAGCCCTTTTTATTTAGAACATTTTAGAACTATGTAGAGTGGTGGTTGTTCCAGCCTCTCCATGTTGCTGACCCGCTAGAACAGCCAAGGAATGTCGTGGGAAAGCCGTTGGTTCAGATGTTTGCTGAATTCAAGGTTCGAGTCTGAATGAGTCTGAACTTCCATGCACTGATTTTCTCTATGCAACAATGCAACAAGAACTATGCAGTGGCTAGAAGAAGACATGCTTAGTAGATAATAGCACCCACGGACAATTGAGGCATTTGCCAAAAATGATATAATGTTAACATATTTTAATGATCCCTTTTCAATCCTTTTCAATCCTTTTCGCTTTTTCATCCCTAGCCAACGGTCATTTTGAGGGATTCGCTTAATTCTCACAATTGCTGACTTCAAAAGTCCTGATTGCATCCTTCAAATTGCGAGGCAGCTTTTAATCTTTGGGGTAGCTTCGTCGCCATTTTCTTATTTACTTTAAGTTACATAGTTCGATGTTCTAAATGTTTTTGTGTGAGTTATTATGATTCTGATAGATAATGATGGAGGAATGAAAACAACCAAGAGCCCAAGAGCACAATGATCAGGGAAGAGCTTTACACAGAACATCACAGGACTTTTTCTTTACGTCTGTTTCTCCAGTGGCCCTTTAAGTTCCTGGCGATCTTAAAGCAAAAACCACTCCGCAGGGTTCTGACATGGTCGCACCCTTGGATCTAGACAAGTGAACCCGAACATACCGGAACAAAGATATTTCTCCTTCGTAGTTTCACAAGCGTAGCGCTATGATGCGCTATGGCAGGGCACACACTACGACTTCGAAAACTTGGTTGAAAAGAGCCAGACCGACGATTGGCTCCATGGCGACCAGAGCTATCGAGAGCTGCTGACTGTGTTGGACAATGCATGGAATAACTTGGAATATGTGTGGAATTGTGTGGACATGGGTGGTAATGCGTGGAATATGTTTGTGATCTTTCCTGCGGATTTGAATCAATTTGAGTCACTTGTGCTTTGAAAGTTGTAGAATGTCGGTGATTACTCTGTGATTCTCTTTTAGGCTTTTTGCTGGGGATGTGAAGTACCACCTGGGCACATCGAATGTCCGAGAGTTTGCCAGTGGAAAATCAGTACTTGCCACTCTTGAGGCAGCCTGTATATCATATAGCCTGTGACTTGCTGCGGCTTGCTGTGACATGTACAGTATCACACAAACCAAAAATGCAAAGCAATGCTCTTGGAGAACCTGTAGATCAGTGATCTTGTTGCACTTCGTCCATGCATGGCATATTTGAGTTTTGGTGGCTTCTGGATGGCTCTGCGACAGTTCAACCCTTTAGAATTTTCTTAACATGCAAACGCCATTTGAACATAAAAAAAACTCAAAAAATGACTAGCACAACTTACTACCCGAAAGGCGAAATGGATTCTTTGGCTACCAAGGGCTTGGGAACTGGATTGTTTGAATGTCAAATCAGAGGATGCCCTTGTGGTTTCCTGTGTAGAGGCCAACCCTTCCCATTTGGAGACAGTGAACACTGTGACATTGGGCAGAGCCCGTGCGAAGCAGTACTACTTGGGCAACACAGCAGAAACGAGGCGGATGTGGTAAGACTGGGTCTTGTCTTGCGTTGTCTTGGTCGTGTTTGAGATTAAAATGAGCTGTATATAGTTGTAATATATTGTAATAACAACATGTAATAATTATACAGTTCTTCCTCTTCTTCCTGGCTGCCTTGGGCTTGATGTGTGACCTCAAGATAGGAACGCATTGTCGGCATTGTTTTCTCATCGAATGTAATGTAGTTGTGATATCAAGGACAGATGGGGGACTTTAAGGGACGGTTGTGCTGCCTTAAATTGCATGCAATTTGGAGGTCTCGCATCATGCCGATCCTGTTCCATGGGGACGCTCAGTCTGGGACATTCTTGACACAGATGCGCTTTACTCTGTTCAGCATTCAGAGAGGCTCACGCTGTTTCCATGCTGTCAGATCAAGACAGAACCATTTTGTTGAGTTGGGTGCTTTCAAGTGTCGTTGCAGCAGCCGAGGATGCATCCTTTGCTGGACAGGGTGTATGCTATGAAACCATGCAACTTGCTCACGTCAAGGAGTTCGACGTTGGCGGTACGATTCATGTCATAATCAACAACCAGGCGACGGGTAGCCTGGGGCGCACACTTGTTTTGTGCCGACATGATTTGGAATTCAGCCAACTGCAGTTCACAATGAGAGTTTTTTGGCGTAGCAACAGTTGGAATAAACACTCTGAGACTCAACTGACAGATTAAGACAGCATCAGCATGCATCAACAATTTCATCATCCGGAGTGCCCTGCCAGATGAACCATGATGTACCATGATGTACCATGATGATGATGTGCAGTACCAGTTATTCTCCCTTTTTCAGCTTTGACCTGCAAATTTTGGAATATGTTGGAATCGCCTCAGATGCTTTTGTTGGCTCTTTGCCAAGGTTTACTTACATGGCAACATATCGCAACATGTTTTGGGCTTCAACAGGTAATTGCTGTAGCTGCAAAAAGCTGCTTATTCATCTCGATCTGACCTTCTGTGTACTTGCAGAAGTGCAATGAAGCTGAATGTGAAATCTATATCAGCTCAGCATAGCTGAACTAGAATATACGAAATTTCATCCTCATTAAAACAAATTATAGATTCACCAAGCCAACTTTGCCAGGTCGGATTTACTACGGACCCTGTGGATGATAGGTCCACAATGTATTCCTCAGACCTTGGGAAAGGCAGGAACCAGATGTGGCAGCCCATGCTGTCGGGTCACAATGTGGAAGGAAATTGATTCTCGCTGGTTCTGTATTTTGCCTTCGTTTCATTTCTTGTTTTGAAACAGTGCCTCTCTTTTAGGAATTCGTTTGTTTTGATATGTTCCTGTCATTCCTATGATGAGAGGTAGAAACTGTAAGAAAGTGGGCAACCCAGAAGCTCGCAAAGACTGCTAATAGATTATGTCTGAACTATCGGTTTCAAGTTGCTTTCATTTCCGTTGGTTTGCCTCGGGATACAGTATTCCCAGATTGACTCAGATCTTACAAATGCAAGGTTTGTCAGACGCAAATTGAACCAATGTTCACAAACTTCATAGTGTCTAGTGCGTCCAAGATGCTATCTGTGCTGCACCTCGCTTTGGTCTAGGCTTCGGCTTACCAGTTCTCCATGTGAACGGTGATGACCCAGTGGCAGTCACTTCTGCATTTCAACTTGCTGCTGAATGGCGACAAACGTGGGCAACTGACGTCACTCCCCTAGTTTGGCAGGAAAGAAGGTGCTTCAGGATGCTTCAAGAAACAAATCCTGTGTAGCGAACCTTTGTCATTTGACTTGTGTTTTCCTAGAGAATCCCATCTTGCAGAGTCGTCGCTATTGCTTTGTTTTGATTTGTTTTGTACTGGAATGAGATTATGAGATTGTCAGCTTCCTGCTTTTTGTCCACGCTTTCCTCACAATGAGGATGCTATACAGTCGACAGATTGAAGAAAATCTACAGCAAGTACTAGCAAGTATCAAAATGTTGTTTTAAATGCAAAAAATAGATACACAATGCGTTCCTGTTTTGTCCCCATTTTCGCCTTTTTTGACGCTGGGATTTTCTCGCGCTTTTTCGCAATATCGACTCATCAGGTATTCAGTCCCTTTTCACTTTGTTTTTCCCTTTTTGGCCTTTTCAGATTTTCGGGTTTTCGCTCATTTTTAGCATTTTTCGTCTTTTCAGATTTTCGAAATTTCGGGTTTTCGCCCGTTTTTCACCATTTTCGTCTTTTCCATTTTTGGAATTTTCGGGTTTGCTAAGTTTTCACACTTTTCATCTTTTCAGATTTTCAAATTTTTGGGTTTTCGCTCATTTTTCACCATTTTGGGTCATTTTCGTCTTTTCCAATTTTCAAGTTTTCAGATTTCGGTTCCTGTTTGCACTTTTCTCATTTTCGCGCTTTCGGATTTTCGCCGATAGTCTTTATCATTATTTCCCTTCCCATGAACATATCCTCTATATATGAGAGGGGTCAAGGCATGCCATATTTCGTTTTATGTACCTCCAGCTGCAGCCCTTCAGGGGGTCACTCACCCATTTTATAGTGATTTTAAGGTTGTATATAGCTGAAATCTGTCGAGATTTGTTCAGGTTTTTGCAGTGCAGCCATGATCCAGGTTGTTCTTAACTGATCATTTGATCAAAGATGCCTCGCGTGGGGGCACAACCTCCGAAAGGGAACCCAGCCCTGTGCCATGTGAAAACATGCTCAGGGAAGATGGGCAAAGCGTTTCTTTGCATTCCTTCATTTGTTGCCAATGCCGCCCAGTGCCAACCCTGGCCTTTCAATGGGCAATTTTGGAATAGCGTGGGCTACTTGTATGATTTCCAAGTGCTGCCACCACAAAAAAGGCTGGCTTCAACCTTTCAACCCACCATGAAATTGCTGATTGACCATCCTTTTGCATTCCTTGATGGCGGCCCTGGCCTTTCAATGGGCCATTTTATACATAGTGTGTGGCTACTTGTATGATTTCCAAGTGCTGCCACTATAAAATGGCTGGCCTTAACCTTTCAACCCAGCATGAAATTGGTGATTGAGCCAGCACCTGCCATCCTTTTGGGTTGAAATTGCGTGGAAAGCTGGGTATTCAACCCAATCACCAATGTCAAATTAGGTTGGAAATCTAGCCACTATATAATAAAATGGCTAGCTTCAACCCACCAACCTAATTTGACATTGGTGATTGGGTTGAATACCCAGCTATCCAGGCAATTTCAACCCAAAAGGATGGCAGGTGCTGGCTCAATCACCAATTTCATGGTGGGTTGAAAGGTTGAGGCCAGCCATTTTATAGTGGCAGCACTTGGAAATCATACAAGTAGCCCATACTGTTCCAAAATGGCCCATTGAAAGGCCAGGGCTTGCATTTGGAGGCATTGGAAGCAAAATCAAGGAACGCAAAAGGATGGCAGATGCTGGCTCAAATCACCAATTTCATGGTGGGTTGACAGGTTGAGGCCAACGTTTTTGTATGTTTTTGTTGTGGCAGCACTTGGAAATCATACAAGTAGCCCACGCTATTCCAAAATTGCCCATTGAAAGGCCAGGGTTGGCACTGGGCGGCATTGGAAACAAAATGAAGGAATGGCAACATGTTTTGATTCTCAGTGAGGTGCTGAAATCTGCTGACTTGTGCCTTGACCATTTCGAATGGGAACCAGTCATTTTATAGATATTTTTTGGTATAATTTCCAGGTGTTCTGGGGTCAGGCCCCCTCAAAATATAGTGTTTTGATTTGGGTTGGGGCTACTTATTTTCAAGCAGTTCCTAGTCATTTTATAGTGGAAACATGTGGAAACCATTTTATTACTTTAAAACGACTGGCAAGACCCCCCCGGTGTATGTTCATAGGGGTCTTTTTTTTTCCAATTTTCGAGTTTTCAGATTTTCGGTTCCTGTTTGCACTTTTCTCATTTTCGCGCTTTCGGATTTTCGCCGATAGTCTTTATCATTATTTCCCTTCCCGTTTTCGCGTTTTCGGGTGCGTCCCGCCGTTTTCGCGTTTTCGGGTCGTCCCTACACCAATCACCGGAACAAGACGACACGTAAATCCAAATCACACTGTAAATACAAGTACATGATGATCCAGGGGTTTCCAGATCTTTTGCGGCATGGCCATGTGATATGCATCAAACGGACAGTAGACTCAGTAGACATGAATTCATTAGCAGTGATGGAAAACTGCAAACTCTGGACACTCAGTTTGAAACGTATCTCTCGAATTCTTTGAGGTCATCGTGGATGTCATTTGCTACCGACGCTTTGGACACAATGAGACTGAACCTTGGCTGCAGGTGCTTCCACGTATCAACACAGAAACTGCTATGGACTGAAACATGTTGGTGCACAGACATGACAAGGTCCAGGAGACAAGTGGTGAATGGTTCAGATACTAAAAGATTGAAAAGATTAATGTTCATTTGTTCTATTTCGTTCTCCATCATGTTCTGTTGACCAGCTTTAGACAGTTTCATATAGACAGTTTTCGTACCCTCATGTATGCTCCAAGCCCCACCAGCATTGCTCAGGATGCGCCAGAATACACGCAGCCCATGCTGTACAAACAGATTGCGAAGCATCCTCGAACTCACACTGTGTTTGAACAGACCTTTGGCAGAAGTTGGGATAGTTGGGATTTGCACTGTATGTTTCCGCCCATTTCAGGATGTCTCAGGTGCTAGTCTGTTCACATCAGCACCAATCAATACATGAAGCAAAACACCAGATTCCGATGATTCAGATACAGCTGGTTGGAAGCCTTGGCAAACACAATAAGGGATGGAACCTATGTCATAGAACTTGTATGAATTTGATACCATTCCTGAGCAACCCTGAGCCCTGAGCAGCAATCAAGAGAAATCAAAAGGAAAGATAAAGGAAAGTCGGGAAAGTAATTGTCGACCAAGTCAAAGCAATTGTTGCCCTCTCCGATTCAAGCCCAGCATTCCGCAGCGAAAAAGCAAGCACTCTATTAAGGTTCCACGGATTTCAAAAGCCTTGAAAGGCCTTGAATGTTGCAGACGAAAGAATTCATCGTAACATTATATATATATGTTATATATATTAATATATATTTATAGTATATTGTATTATATTATATTATATTATATATATATTATATTATATTATATCATATTATATCATATTATATTATATTATATTGTATTATATTATATTGTATTATGTTATGTTATGTTATCTTATGTTATATTATGTTATATTATGTTATCTTATGTTATATTATGTTATCTTATGTTATATTATGTTTTATTGTATTATATTGTATTTTATTATATTATATTATATCATACTATATTTTTATATTATATTATATTATATTAAATCATATCATATTATATTATATTAAATCATGTTATGTTACATGGTCTAAATTATAGTGGGAATGTGGGAAATGCTGGCGGAATGGTGCAGTGGTTTGGCAAATCTCCTCATCACCCTGCAGGGTTCAATGCTCTTTACACAGCTGGGAAAAGCTTATCCGAACGATGCCTATGAAAGTGCTTGCAGTAGCTGCATAAAGTGCAGTCGACAGGGGACCACACAGGAGCTCGATGAATCCTGATCAATCCATGTCCAATGAATGAATGATATGAATGCAGACTCATGCACATTCCATGTCAAATCCTACCATAACAACTCTTAGATGACACTGCTGTTGATGCTGCTTTCTGATTTTGGTCGTGGATGGTTTGCAAGGAAGCTCTTGGCATCTGGATCCGTCAGCCAAGCCGAGATGGAGTCAGTCAAATCAAACCTCTGGAAGCAGCATGAAGAGGCTGTGCCGTCAATGGAGAGCCATGAAGACCCAACACCAGGGGTGGAGTTGACTCGCAGGTGATATCATACTACCGTGCACACCCCACTGCCTGAAATTGCTCCCTTGGGAATTTTTGGGACTTAAGATTATCCTAATTTTTTCATGATTTTTCATAATTGTTCATAATTTTTCTGGCTGCAGCATGAGAGGCCTTTGCAGCCGCGGACTCTTTCAAACCGGACGAGGAGACGTGCTTGGTTTTGCCGTGACTACTTTTCCTGACGTTTCAGGTAATGCATCGAATCACGTGCTGGTTGCAGATTCAAAAGGATGACTTTGGAGCTGTACTCAGAAACACGCCTGGAAGGATATGGGCAATTGGGTGGCTACGAAGTGGGAAGGCTTCGTTCGCCCAACTGATAAGGCATCATCTCACCCGACCGGTGTGGATCTTGAGCTTCTGAAAAAGATTGGAGCAAAGCTTTGCGAAGTGCCTGAAGGCTGGGACGGAATCTCTTGAAGATTTGCTAAAGCTTTGTTCAAGCTTTGCAGCTTGATCTGCCTTGGATGTACCATTGAACCTCGTTTCTTGTAACATATTGTAACTGTATGTCATCGTGTTGCTGTTTCGAATAGAATCTCTGAGGCTTCAAATTGCACAACGGCTTGAAGCGTCAACTGAAAAAGAAGTCCGAGGACCTCCACTTGGCACATTGACATCTTGGCACCAAAGACCTGGACACGAATTCTCTAGGGCGATGCCGGCGATGTTGATGTCTCGGAGTAACTTCAGAACATCATAGAACATCATCCTACCAACGAGTTTATCATAGTTTATCTCCCAAATGGATCCAAACAGCAGGATCTCGTTTAGGAAGGCAGCATCAACAAACCCGGAAATCTGTAGAAATCTTGAAGTTTGGCCAATTCTAGTTGCTGATGAAGTGCTCGCAAGATCGTGCAATGGTGTCGCCCTAGCATGCCATACATACTATAGCAGCCTTGTCCTTTCTCTCAGAAAAGCTCTTTCCACGTCAGAATAAGCATATCATGGTTTTCGATGAATTTTGCGATGTTGTTCAATCCGGCAAACGTTTGCAGGCGCATTCCCAAAATTGAATCTCTGAAATTCTGCAAATACGGATGAATATCCGGGCATATCTAAGCTATTGTTTCTAATTAGCAGTCTTGCTTTTGGTTGGTGACAGATTGGTTCAAATACTGAAACAGACGTGAAGATTCATGTGCTCCCAGCCAGCTTCTTGAATCAGTGAGAACGAAATGACCTCCAGTGCCAGTATGGCCAGTATGGTCCCGTGGCTCCATGTAGAACTCAGAATCGTTCATCAAGGTTCTCGAATGTTCTCGATCCAGAGGGCCAATGAGGGCCACAATTGACAATTTATATCAATTTATCACACTTTGCAAATGTTTCGCAATTTTGCCGCCAACGACATCCTGAACTTGCTCTTTGTTTGTTGTTCAAAACTTCCATTTATCATCGGGGTATTGACACACAGCATATCAAGATATCAAGATCGAACTTGTTTAATTTTGACTAGCTTGGACTTGGGCAGGACATCGAAGGTGGCGAAACTATTGACTGGGCCACTGCTGAAGCAATGAGCTTCGCTTCGCTGCTCTTGGAGGGAAACCACGTACGCATCACAGGTGCATTGGTAACGAAAGGATATGTGAAACTAGCCGCAACTTCAGTCACTCATGATTGTCACTAGCAGCGGTTTTTGTGCATGAGTCTGAAGCTGGCGGTTCTTCGGAAGGGACGCATCCGGCTTACTCGATAAGCCACATCGAGGAGCATAACTATAGGGATAACTATAGGGTACTTATAGTATCTTATAGTGGCATCAAACAGATTGCACGCCCGGGGATTTCTTCCAGGATTCTACTTGCTGTGATTTCGAAACGAGTTTCTCATGTGTTCATATTAGACTGTGAATACAGTATATATACTTATGAGTGATTTCATATGCATGCACACACAGAATATGTGCACTCTTTGATCTGCGTGTACTGAATGTGCTGTGATGAATAGAAATGCTATGCCTTGCCTTGCAATGCCTTGCCTTGCCTTGCCTTGCCTTGCCACGTATGTGTATATATATATATATACATATATTGTTTGGTGCAGAGGTGGTGTGTGCAAGCTGCAGTTCTTGTATTGTTTCTCTTCCCCGAGGGCAGGATGTTCAGCGTGGCACCTTCGCCCATCGACATTGTGTGGTGAAAGATCAGAACACGGGTGAAGACCACTGTTCCTAGGTCAGAGATCTTTAGCGTGCTTTGCAGACTGCAAATGATTTTCAATCCGGGCTCACTTCAGAATTATTTGGAAACATCTCTTTATGCTTTCCAATGTTTTTTCTTTCAAGAACATGCAGTGAAGCTGACTTTTTTGCACTTCAGACTGCAGCAAGGCTTCTTGAACAACTTGGACTTGGGGCCTCAGGACCTGGTGCTGCCGACTTGGTGCCTTTGGACATGAGACTGTATAGCAATAGACAAACCACTTAGAACGTCATTTGGAAAAAATAGTTGATTATTTTGATTTTCATTTGCAGCTACAAACGTTCTAAACGAGTCAGCTAGGACGTTGTTTTTACTCACAGTCTCTGCAGTCTCTGGAACAGTGTAGTCCAATGGGAATCCAATGGGAATCCAATGGGAATCCTTCCAAATCCACTATTCTCCTGACCAAATCCTAGTGGTCCTAGCGTGCAAGGGATATCAAGGGATGTCATGGATCGATATGACCTGCTATGGTTTCTAAATATGTCTAAGAAGGTTGCATGGCCCAGCATGGCTGCTGAATGGCCAAAGTTTCTAAGGCCAAAAGGGAACCTGGTAGGACCTGGTAGGACCTGGTAGGCGGGAGTTGCCAATAAAGAACTCTTTGGCCTTCTCATCTCTCCACTATGACGTTGACACAGGAGAACTTCATTGCCCGCAATTCCATCCTTTCAGAGTATGGCGTTCTTGGATTTGAGCTGGGGTACAGCTACGAGAATCCACGAGCTTTGGCAGCTCGACTGAGTCGTGGGCAGTGCTTGACATGTCTTGGCACATCTTGGCACCTTGCCCTGGTGGTTTCATGTGGTTTCACTTGTTCCCATGTGGAAGATTGTGGAAGATTGTGGAAGCATATGGAAGCATACTTCAGAGATCTTCAGAGTAAGGTCATTTGGGAAGCGCAGTTTGGTGACTTCGCAAACACAGCTCAAGTTATGGTTGATCAGTTCCTCAGTCAGCAAGTGGAGATCTAAAGAGGCAGCCATGGCGTTGAAGACACAGACTAAAAGCCGACAGACATCGACAGACTGTTTATTTCTTAGCTCAACCCCTGCAAACATCTGCCCAGAATCATCAACAGGAACGGGCCAAATTCCAGCGTATTTTAATGCTTGAGCCTATATAGTTGTTATGAAGTTCTGGTTGAAGGTTTCGTCGAAAAGCAGATTTTGTACCACGGTTGCTGTGCTTGATATCAAAACCAAATACTAATATGATCTAACACGGACTAATCCTGTTTCGAAATGAACAAGCAACTGCAAATCTTGCCACACGTCAATACTTTCAGTTCAGTTTGCAGCTACGAAAAGCACTGCAATAGTGTAACATTATGTAACTGTTTATTATTTGTTGGTGTTGTTGCTGTTGCACAGGCAGGATTAAGGGAGTTGTATTGGATTTGTGACATTTAGGGACTGGGCAGGCAGGAACACTCTATATCGTCTGAATTGTTGTCGCTCACTCTGCCAGGTTCGTCTCTGCGGGAGAGCACAAATGGCTGCAACAGACTGGTCTTGTCATGCTGCTACCTCATGGCTACATGGGACTTGACCTTAGATGTGAAATGTTGTAAATAGATAGTCAGTGTCAGAAATGTCATAGGCACTGTCGTTCCTACATTCTGAATGGTTGTTAAGTATGTTTGGCTGTTTGGATACGCTGCTACCTTTTGACCCGGATGGTGGCACATCACGCTTTTCCATATGGGGGGCAACCCAGGATTGCAACCTTACCATCCTTACCTGTGAAGGTCTTTTTGTGCATCACACGAGATGTTTTGGTGCCCATAGGAGTCGGTGTGCGTTTGGATTGGCTTTCTCAGGACAAGGTGCTGAACACTCATCCTGTCGACTTGAACGCTTTCTCCAGCTAAGTACACTACTCAGAAGCGCAAGGGTGGTGTGTAATTGACCCTTGCGCCCCGTGATGCCCGTGTCCCTGTCAGTTGACCCATAAAATGCTTACGTTACATCTACTCGTGCCTTACCTCTTCTATTCCTTGACAAGGCGACGATGACGAAGATGACATTCCAGCCTTTGAAAATGATTTTGGACGCAACCAAGTCCAAAAAGCAAACTGGCAGGCACGACGAGAGCATGACAAGGAAGCAGCGTGAAATAGGAAAACCCTTTTCCAAGGTTGATTTGTACTCGAGTCAGTGAACGTCAGTGAACGAATCCTTAGCGTGAAGCACACTTTGGGGTGTCAATGTATTTTCAAGTTTTTCAAGTTGGAGTCAAACGAGCCCTGAGAGACAGTTCCAAAGCCTCAAAACCCACTGATGCAGAAGTCATTTGAAGTGCAGGTCATGAACATCTCTACACCTGCGAACTACTTCCACGCTTTGCGCCGTCAGCAACATCGTGACTTCCGGAAGCCCATGGTCCTGGCATCACCTAAGAACCTCTTCCGCTTGCGCCAGTGTCTGGTCAAGAAAGTGTAAAATTATGATAACAATTACAAAAAACGATAAGAACAATGATCAGATAATATAATAATATATAATATATATAGATGATTATAGATGCATAATAATGCGTCGTCAAATGCAGAATCATGGAGAAATCATGTTGTTTTTCTTATAGCTTTAAAATGCTTTAAAATCTATGATGAAATTTCCATCGGTAGCCGGCCATCAAATCAATAGAGCTTGAAATCAATTGAAATCATGTAAGCGCCAGCTTCCCTAGCGCTTGGTTGTCCTGAACTGTGACTTAGTGGCTTTTGGTGTGATGATTTGAGAGGCCGTGTTGGAGGCCATATCCATTTCAACAGCACCCAGCACGTATGGCAGCCAGACCACCATACTTGCAGCAGCAACACCTTCCCCAAAAGCCTGCGTGCAGCGCCAATCGTGGTGGCCATTGCAACGACAACCTGTCCCAAGCATTTATATATATAATATAGTATAATTGTGTATATACTGTATATAATATATATATATTATAATATATATGTTGTATGTATATATCCTGAGTCGCTGTGAATTATTCTTACCATTCTGACTTTTATGATATGTACAGAACAGTGAGCGTTCCAAGATTTCACGAGCAGCTCCAAGTTTTCTCCTCGCCGTGAGCCTCTAGAGTCTGTCGGGTGCACTCTTGACATGAAATGTTTCAAGCTTGCATGTGTTGTTTCCAAATGAATGTGTGTGTATCATGCTTGCCCTGCTCGTGCAGTTGTAAACGTTTCTTGGGATGTTTGTGAGAGGATTGCTCATTGAATCTGTCAAGGTGTGTGAGTAAGCTGAGCGAGATGGGTCCTGGATCGCGTTTTCGACGTTTAATTCCTGAGCGTGATCAAAAGATCGCTGATAACCCCGAGAAGGCCTCCGAGGGTCCTCCGGGGATCAACATCACTAGATTATACTGGGGTAACGAAGGTGAACTAGGTTCCAGACTGGTTGGAGGTGGAAAAGCAGAAGGAGGATGAGCTGCCATGAACTGCCATGAGCTGCCATGAGCTGTCAAGTTTCGCAGTGGGGAAGCACCAGATGAAGTTTTTTCTTGATGTAATATTGATGCAATTGGGTGCTTCTGTCCAGTCCAGCAGGTGACCAGGCTCGTGTTTTGCAGTGGCAAGCTGTACTATGAGCTAGTTGCTGAGCGTGAGCAGTTGCTTGCTTGCACTAGTCAACCACTTTGGAAGGGAGGCAGCACACAAAGTACTGTAGCTGATGCGCACACAGGATTTCCAAGCATTCAGTTTTATGCACATTGATTCTACGATTTTGCAGTCCTCATCGTTTTTTATTTGCACTTGGACATGTTTATTTGACGGCCAGCATGGTTCGCGGGCCACCGACTCGTGTCCAAAAACATGCAGAAATGTTTAAGATGTTTGAAAGATAGGAAACTGAAACTAACTCTGTGTTTGTGTAATTTTGATTTAATTTTGTGTATATGTGGCATTTTTCTGAATGTTTCTGCACCTACAAGGGAACGCTTTAGAACAGTCTGTGATTGAGCTCGGCTCTTCCGCCACCGTAAGGCTTGGCTTGGACAATGTTGCGATCGTGACATTGGAGCAGATTGCACCATTCCCATTTGATCGTGTGAAGGCACTGACCATCCATGAATTATGCAGGATGTGCAAGATTCAGATATGTGAGGTTTTGTGAGTTCGGCGTTCTAAGCAGTTCTTGACAGGCCATGCTAGAGATGTACCCAAATGTGGACATTGGAGATGGCATTCATCCTGGGAATGCTGCTTGGCAGGGTTCATTGTGTCCTGTGTGAGCGTATGATCATGGACCCTAGCGGGGGGGTAAGGGGGGGGTGTAAGTAGCTTATCATATAAAGGTTTATTAGGGGCTTCTGTGTAAGGCCCTTATTAGAAGCTTAATAAAATCTTAATAAGCGCTTATTAGAAGCTTAATAGATGCTTATCCGTTAAGCTCTGAACAAGGCCTGGTTAAGTCTTCAGCCAAGGAGCCTAGGACCAAGGTATGGGAGAGTCTGCGGAGGGGAAGGGCCTGGGGAGGGTCTGGGGAGGTTTGGGTGAGGATCGGAGGGTGGTTGGGAACGTTGGGGATTGGGGGCATTTTGGATGATTTTTTTTGGGGGGGTAGGCAAATTAGGTTGGGAAACAGGCTTATCCAAGGCTTATCCAAGGCTTATCCTTAAGCCCTGGATAAGCCCTGGATAAGCCCTTAATAAGCCCTTAATAAGCCCTTACTGTATCAGTTTTCAACCAACCCTGAACAAACCTTGGATAAGGATCTCTTGTTTCATTCATGGTTGGACCAGGGAATAAAGTTTTCCCTGGCGTTGGGGATATCTGATAAGCCCTTATTAGGCTCTTATATGATAAGCTACTTACCCCCACCTTTACCCCCCCAAGGGGTCCATGATATGACTCTCGCAGACTCTTATTGACTTCATAAGATTAAATTAGATGATATGATATTACTATATATATATACACACATATACTGTAATTACTACATATATATATTACTAAGATATTAGAAGTCAATGTTGTTTGCATGTCTTGAGTCTTGAGGGCTTCCTGTTCAGCTCTCCTGCAGTGCCGAGGTGATTTGGTGCCAGGAGGAGCCAAAGAACATGGGAGCATGGTCATACGCAATCATCTCAGAATCTGCAGACAAGGAACCAGCCAACAAGGACGGACAAGGGAGTTGTTTTTGTGCCCTTGCCAACAGATCTTTCTGGCTGGTTCGTGTGTGACATGACTCATTTCACAGGATGACCTGAAAAATGGACTGCCTGAAAATTCATTGAGGTCCGTCCAAGATTTGTCACAACTATGAGAGAAGGACTTGAGAAGGATATGGTCATGCGCTAGGATCCCAGTTTCGCACAGTTTTGTGTGGAACGCACATGTTTCATGAGAGTCGGTTGGTTGTTCGTGGCCTGCTTTGTTATTGTTTGTCATGATTGTCTTCATCAAAGCCGGTTGAGGTTATGTAGGTCGCCGGGCAAGTGCGTCACCTGCGACCGGCTATCCCAAGCTCCACAACGCAGAGCAGGAAGCTCTTGTGAAGGCCCCTGCAGTGTCTTGCAGCATTGCATCTGCAGATGATTCCTGTTTGATCCTTTTTGAAGGATTCGCACTACAGTACCTGTTTCATCCTGTTTCAATGCACCTGGAATGGATCCTAGTTGGTTGTGTTGTGGCTTGCCACGCAAAAACGGTGTCACGATCAATAAATTATATTGACATCTTAAGGCTTGAGGTTATGTGTCATACGTTGATGGCACACATGTTCATCAGGCTCAAGGTCCATGAATTGGTTTCATCTAAGGCTGATGAATTGCAGAATATCACGAGAGCGTTTTACAAAGAATATTTGAAGCAGGTTGCGCTTTGAACACTGCATATGAATGCATATATATATATACTGAATTATATTGATGTGAGGAGACGTAAAGAATTGGGAAAGAATTGAGCATAGTCGTGCAATATGTGCAATGTCATGGCAATGTCATGCGCATCATGTGAAGTTGCCATGTGAAGTTTTTCCAGGAAGCCCTCGTTGGACATGACGACGAAGGCTGGACAGTGCAGCGGCCATCTTCCCTACTCGGCCACCAAACCTAGGTGGAAGCCGAGGCCCCAGCAGCGGAGCAGTTGTTTATCTGAACAAAAAGCGAGAAACAAATAAATCAAAAGCGTATCATTTGGGCTTCAAGAGCATCACTGATCTTATTCAGGAACTTGCTGGACATGTCTTTTATGATTTTATGAGCATGGAACTTACATGAACTTACTCAGGTTGTCTTTTATGAGCATGTACTGATTCCAACCGAATGTGTTCTCAATCGCTTCTGTTTGTGATCCCGAGCCAGCATGGTTATTCGTTCGATTCCGGGCGAGGTCAGCAGATTGGTCTCACTGCAGGTGTATCATTAGAGAATATTAGAGAGATGTACAGTGATGCCACAAAGATGCCACAAAGACGCAACGATGCGTTTATGGAAGCTGGAATCTCACTCGAGCTGGCACAATTCGTGTGCGACAGTGGGAGTTAATGCACGGGAGCACAACGGAGCAACCTTTGTGGAAGCCCAGTCCTGCATAGATTCAAGACGTTTCAATACTGCGAACTTTTCATTGATCATTGATATCAGAATGATTCAGAATGAGCAATAAGCCTACGCTAGCATGGTGAGCACCTTAAAGAAATTTTTGGTATCTCTTAAGTATTCTGGTGACCATGCCGCACGGATGGATACTGTCACTACCACTTCTCCTTGTTCAGTATTAAATTTCCAAGTGTGCAATTAATATATTTTAGAAGCCTTCGCTTTTAATGACTTTGGCGCAGATTGCCGTATCGATTCAAGAGAAAACGCTTCTCTGGCCATAGATGTTTTGCCGCGTGGCTGCTCTGTGGGTTGCAGATGGATTGCAGGCATTTCCGAGATTTTCCGACTGATTTGTCGCTTTCGCATCTCCACGCAAGAAGCCAAAACCTGAAGGTACCTGCTGCA